GAGGACCACGCTATTTTACACGCTGCTCTTCGCCATTCGCATTCCTCTTGTACACCCCACACTTTCGGCGGTGGGGAGCTGGATGGCTTTTGATTCAGTTTCTCATCATTCATTGTTCCGAGCTGCTACCGCATTTGGTACACTGCAATTCCTCCTAAAGCACTTGTGGTCATATTATTCATCTGCTATCTCAACGGTTAACAGAATTAGTCTTCATCCCGAACCGGAGAGGAGGGTTCGGCATGGCGAACCCCTTTCCCCCTGCTTTTTATCTTGACACTAGATGAAGCGCTCCCCAGAGTAGCAAACACTCCTTAGTTATCTCCATTGCGTTATGTCGACTACCTGGCTTATGCCGACGATGTCATCATTTTTGCGGAAACTAGAACTGCTTTGGAGAACCACATACGTCGTCTTCACGAACGACTACAGTTACACGGGCTCTCCGTTAATAAACTAAAATTTGTAGCTGCGAATATTGTGGTAGATGGAAAGAGAAAATTGACAGTTCTTGACACGTCCCCCTTTATCTGTGGAAGCTTTTTAATCCCATCGATACAACCTGATGAACGTTTTACGTTGCTTGGTCTTCCTTTTAACAAGGAAGGAAAATTGTCTATTTTGGATGAACTTCGCACAACTGGAGATCACTAGATCGCCCCTGAAACCGTATCAACGATTGGATATTTAACGAAGGTTTTTAATTCCTTGCAATATTCATATCCTCTGTCTCTCTCTGGTACACCGGAAAACCTTGCAACACATGGGTAGACTGCTTAGAGTCTATGTCCGCAAATGGCTGCCTTTACCAGAGGACACATCAATAGAGCACTTGCACGCCACTATCTGGGATAATGGGCTTGGCATTCCATTCTTAAGTACCAACGTACCGCTGTTTCGGAAATCACAGCTACAGAGGCAGCTTTTAAATTCCAATCCCATTCCTAGTTAGGTGATTCGAGATTCGGCGGTCGCTACTATCCATCGACTTGCAAACCCACCTGTTTACGTCTGCAATCATGTCGTCATGGATAACTTCTCAGCGGCAGTAGCCAGGAAAGAAGCTCTCTTGAGCTCAGCCGATGGATGTACATTACGTGAGACGCAGACAACCCCAACTTCTCATCACTGGCTGAGGAAACCAGCAAGGAATTTTCCACGACTTGTATCCGATGAATTCAACTACGTGGGGGTCTTCTATCAACTAAGGCTCGTAGAGCTAGAGGTCTTCCTCCTCCAGGTAATTCGTCTCTTAATTGTCGCGGGAATTGCGGGCAGAAGGGAAGCAATCCTGCGAAATAACTCAAGCTCCATGCTGTAAATGCCATAATGTCATCACCCAAAATCTCTCCGAAAAAGGGGGCTCGCTTTAGGCAAGAACCACGGATCTTAGCTCTCACGTCTTTAACACACCGGACATTCCGGTTCTTAAAGGTTCCATGGTAAATCTTCTGGATATACCAAATTGCGATGTTGATTGCTTAGGGCGTACATACTAAGTTCAAATTAATAAGTACCGGGTGGGCGCAAATGCTTCCGCTATATCGCAATATATGGCGACAAAATTTCCAGAATCACGGTGGATCGTTCAGTGGCCGAGTATTATTAACGATAAAGGGTTGATATAACCGGCGTCCGCACAAATCTTCCTTCAGTTGGGCTGACCAAATTCCATACATCCGATATCTGTGTTTCGGCGATTCGACTCTCCTCGGGTGTTCACACCATATATGGTTGGCGGCATCCGGTTTCGGATTTGCCTGTCACTGTGGTCAGCCAAAAGACGCCTGTGACTACAGAGGGACCATAGTTGGCTTGCGCTGCACCAACCACAGCTCCATCCACATACCCCATATCTAGTGTAAACTCGAAGGAATAAGACCGGGAGGCATGTGGATGGGAGCCACGTTTCATCAACAGAGCCGGCTCACACTCCTTCACAAGCAAACACAAGCACGCTGTATTTGGGGAATCAAGCGCACACAAGGCGGTGACTGGACCGTAGTCCGCTCCACACTGAGTGCATGGAATCACTCTTTGAGCCTAGCACGGCCATAAGGACCGTGCACCCCGTCCCCTCCAGCAATGACCAACTGTCTCCTTGAGCCAGTATGAGCGAAGTAGTGGGTAATAGACAGGTAGGCACCTTGTCAACATTCACATCAAGCGCAGCCACACCGGGGATATCAAGCGACAGCCATTAACTTTAAACGACAGCTGAAATAAAATAAATCCAATAATGCATACAGATACGGTGGCATAACTCTTCCCTAAATTAGCATATGAATTAAGTTGGTTAGCAACGAATCCGCAATAAACAAGAAATGTCCACAAGTTACTTAAAAATGCTACAAACGCAACAAAATAACCGAAGATAAGCGCAATTAGTGTAAGCAACGTGGCCAGTTAATAGAACATTAATCAGGTAGGCAGAACAAACTATATATATATATATATATATATATATATATATATATATATATATATATATATATATATATATATATATATATATATATATATATATATATATATATATATATATATAGTTACCAGGAGGTTCTTTTGGCTTTAGGTAAGCACAAGCATTATCTGATCACTTTGAAAAAGAAAACGGTTCCGCCACATGTGTTTCTAGTTTTATTTTGACGATTGTTTCCTATTCCGCCGGCACATTTGTCCCATCTTGGCATATTGCTGTAATCCTCGGTTTTTGAGCCATTCATGTTTTCTCTAAAAATAAAGGATCATGGCAGGGTCGAAACGACCACCTCACTTGTAAACAGGAGTAATCATCCTGTCTTTCCACTGGTCGGCACGTACATTTCGTCAAAACAGTATCGGAAGAAGCGAGCCAAAGGCTCAGCTAAGCTCTCTGCTAGGGGGGGCTAGCAACTTCAGGTGCATATTATCAACTCCAGGAGAGCTGTGCTTCCGCATACTCAACAGCTTTTTAGCACAGCTTCTGCCGTGAAGGATACGTGAGTTTTGGGCGTGAGAAAACAATTGGCATAGGGCTAGGTGGCCAGAGATCGCACTGAAATGTTGCAACGTATTGCAGCCGCAGGGTATTCGCTGCATCCTTCGTGCCTGTGTGAGTCCGTCCGCTGTTTGAAGGGGAGGAATTCCCCATTTAAACTTACGTAGACTGTTTATATGTTGATAGACAAGCTTGTGATCTGTGGCCGTGCGCACCGCCAACTTCTGCTGGTACGCCACTCTATCCTCGCGAGCAAGCTGAGTACAGTGGTTACTTTGGGCCGTTTAGGCCATCCAGTTCTCGGAGAGAGTCCGTAAAGATGCCAAATTGAGTTTTGCACCGTTCTACACTTGCGTGTCCTGCTTCACAGAAACGAGACCACGGTTCTCGGTTGGTGCGTCTTAGTCGCTGATGCTTCGGCAAGCAGAGAGGTAACATGGCTGACGAAATGTTCCCATGCACTTGATGGTGCCTCATCTGCCAGAAAGGTCCAATTGGTTGTCTCACCTAGTCGAGCTAATATGTCGTAGCGGATAATCGTTGCTGTTGCGTCGGCAATTTCCACGGAATATTCTGCATAGCAAATGTATTCGAAGAGTAGGACTACATGATCGCTTCGGTCCAAGGGACGTCAACGATCACCCTCTCAACCATTGGTTCTTCGTCAGTGTATACGGAATCCAGTATTGACAGAAGAACTTTGTCTCGGAATCGGGTGGGGGTGTTGATGTGGCCCTACAGCGGGTAACTGGAGATCAACTCTTGTAGATCGGGCTTAAACTGTTCTTCGGGAGCTTTTTGGGATTCTAAAGCGTGGATACTGAAATGGCCAATAATGAGAAGGTGACTGTAAGTTGTGTTTTTCATCCATCTTAGTGCGGACCCCAGGTGGAAGTCCATCTCGGCAGTGGAGGGAGGAGGTCGTTAAATAGCCATCACCAAGCAGGTGTCGTCGCCTTTTAAACGTAGACGGCACCAAAGGGAATCATGTGCCTTGCTGACCGGATTCTCCATATGCTCACATTGGAGTTCACTGCGCTATATCGCAGTTAGATATCAGTCATGGCGGTATGCAGCCGTCACCCATGGCTCAGATGCATAAGTCACTGACTCGTAACAGGAAGGTCATGGGTTCCATTCAGATAGGGTTCGGCGGGTGCGCGCTACTGACGAGTCCAAATAGGACGAAAAGGCCGTCTAGCGCTTTCTTGTATGTGTGGTGGCTATCTGGCTGAGTTTATTTGTCACGTATCTTCCCCAACACGCAACAAATCTTCTATTACTCACTAATAAAATTGGGATATGCTTTTCCGATAGACGGATGGAGTGAGTGGAGCCTGTCTTAAGTGTGGTTGAATGACTGACATACCAAGAACTTGCGTCAAAATGGTCACTAGCGTCTAAGGGAAACTGGGCCATATTCAGCTCACCTGCCTGCAGATGCTCTGAGACATAATGCAACAATTCCGGGCCCTATAAAAAGCGGTATGGGGTCTTAGATCAGTTGTTTTGAATTCATCTAAGCTCGAGGCATCATCCGAAACCGCCAAGTTTTGCCTACCCAACCCTTAGGTTCATCCATGTATTCTGATGACACTCCCAAAAATATGGCTCCAAAAGCATTCACTTTTACGTTATCCGAATGAAAATTCATCCAAAAGGTAATGGTGGATCACACAACCGGGAGGCGTCTGCTGATACTTCCTTAGATGTTGGATTTTTGTGTTTACATGCGTCGCGGCTCCAACTATTGAACATTGCGTTCGGGAATTATTGGGACGCCCTCCGAACTAATCAGTTTGTGTTCTCCAATGTCAGAGATGCATGCAGTGACAGACAATGGAATTGTAGAACCGCTGTAGGTGAGAACAGTGTGTAAACAATGGAATGTTTTAGTGCTATTTGTTTGCGTGCTGTTAATGTCTTATGTCTTTTACCGGCGTCGTTACCACAGGGTGGCACATAACGCGAGACAAATTGCCATCCAACCTCGCTAGGTTCCATCAGAGTTACATAACATTTAACGGAGCGGACTAAACTCACTCATAGAAAGCGGAATAATGTCAAACCCACCTGCTCTTCTCGCCTCTTCTAGAGCTTGCTGCTTCCTTCTCGCTTCCTCTGCACGCTCGAATCCTTCGTTTTCGGCTGCCTCGGCTAGTTGACTCAAGAGTGCTATGACGCCCTCAGCCTCCAGAGGATTCCCATCCAGAATTAGTTCCCTTCGAGTAGATTGGGTGCAACAGAAATAGTGGGTCAAAAAGGATCCCAGGGGCTTGTATGGTATGCAGATTTTTAAGTATGTAGGGATGTATTCGCCTTTCTCCTGTGCAATAGAGCACAGGTGCTGATATGCATAAAACGTTCTAGTTTTGTGTATCCGTGGATCAAGTCGGGACTGTGCACCTAATATACAGTGGGCATTTTATTAGGGGATTGATAACACGATTTAGACAGTTTAAACCTCTCCCATCGTACGTAGGCTATTCACATACATCACCAGGAAGACGCTGAACATGGAGTTCCTCTTGGCGATGCTTGCTACTTATTTGAAATGCTTCGGCTTCCTAATGGTTTCAAAATGTGACTTGACTTTTACAAGCACCAACTGTGCCTTTGAGACATTTGTGTCCATAAGTATCCACCTGTCTACTTTTATGATATTTCGGTTGCGAATATACAGTATTGCGTAGTCACTTTCACTTTGGAAAATTTGCTTCCTTACCTCAGTGTCAATTACCGTCACTTTTTGATGGTAAGCATCGCACGCCATAGCTCATGTAGAATAACGCCGCTTGTTTCTCTACACCCGCCTCAAAACCCTTTTTGTTCTTGCTTCCGAACTATTAAGTTTTCTTCCTTTCACTTTAATGTTTCTCCTTTCGAGTTGGTCGCTCCTCAACTGTCCAGTCGCAGCAAAGTAGACATGAATGCGGATGCTGGTCCCTTGAGTCACTGATAGCATACACCATAAGCACACAGCGCTTGCTCAAACATTCTGGCCGCAGCGACACTGTTCTCATAAGATACAGCACATCTACACACAAGTATGTTTTGAGTTTGACACAAAGCCAAATTCTGTATCAGTAAACAATCAAAAAGCTCTCCTAGGGGTCTTATTAGGTGAAGGGCACAAGCGCCAACTACTTAGACATCGATTTACTTGTCTCTGAATTTCGACACGCAAATAATGGCCTCGTTTTCTCACTCACAAAACCCACTCCAGGTTGTAAACCGCCACCTTACTTTAGTGTCTACGTTGCTACCAATGACCTACATCATGTGGCGTGGAAGCGCAACCTAATGGACATTTGTGATAGGTTCTCACGTGTGAGTTGCTTGGGTGGCGTCAGCGTGACAGACTACGTGAACAAGAACTATGTCGATAGCGAAGTCACGCCACCGATCGAGGCAGCCAAGACCTGACCGTCTGGCGTGCCGAAGAAAATTCTTTTCAATTTGTTTGTGTCAACCATGGAACACTCTCCCCGAATCGGTTGTTTCTGTTCCCACGCTAGTCATATTTAAATGTCGGTTGGATGACACACTCCGCCACTTACATTTTGTTACTTGACGCTACTCTCCATCCTACTCCAGGGAAATACCTTGGATTTGTTTGTTTCGCCTAGTGAAGATATGAAAAGGCCTGGAGTGCAGGTCAATAGCAGTACATACGATAAGTCCACTCTTTTGACAGTAGAACTACTAACTGCACTTTTTCATTAATGTTTTTCGATAACCCACTAGTCTACCCAACGGGGCTTGAAAAGCGGCGCTTCTTAACCCGTATAGAATCATTGTTCATTGTACCGCATGAACATGGCGTTCTAGGGAACTTTCGCGATTGCGGTGCCTTCACAGCCTGGCATTGCGCTTCTCAAAATATATTCCCTCACGTCACCGAGACCCACAGATCGAATTCCCCTTTTCCGGCAAGAGCGGCCAGCACGAGGCTGTTATGCTCGGTCACACAGATGGTATCAATTGTCCGCTCCCTATCCATGCAGCCACTTGGGTGGCCACGCCGATGAAAAGATGTCTTCTAGCTTGGCGCTTCGGTATGGATCCGCGGACTTGGAGATTTGTTAGGTGGATCCAAACTATCTTTTCCATTAACAGGCCAATTGGTATCACCTAAATCTGTCCAGGGCCCGTAGTAAGAAATATTTTAACAGGAGTTAGGCCACGAAAGATGACGCATTTCTGCTTCGTTATTATTCACAATCAGAGAAAGTTTGTCCTCATACTGTAATGGAAAGGTCAGAATGAATAATCAGATCTAAGTGGTCGATTCCTCATCTCACATGGATGCCAAGAGACCTATTTCATAGATAAGAGTTCCCAACAGTTATCACTGAAACACTGATCGAACATTATAGCGGTTTCACAAACAGGACTCTTGTTCGCTTGTATTAGGTAGTATCCCCTTACGGATGGTATTTAACATAGAGCAGCTAGTTCCTCCTGCTTGGCAAATCGTGGCCGTGAATTAAAAAGGGTCGAAGCGCTTACCACCAATGGGGAGGCTTGGGCTCTGCAGATGGTTACCTTTGTCCCCATGACCGTAATGCAGCTGTCTTTGTTGTTTTCGATTGTCGAAGTGAAACTGGTCTGCAGCACCAGAAAAATGTCGTTGAAAACAAAAACATGGTTCCACAACTTCTGGTGTGACTAACAGCGGAGCCTTTTGCCGGTATTTGTTGCCTTGCGTTTAACTTCATCAGGCTACTATGGGGGGACTATAAAAATGCGTATGGTGCCGAGCGATGCAGCGATTCTGTCATACAGACTCCGTGAGGGTAAATTCGGAGACGCTTTTTGGGGCCAGTTACATTCGGATAACGGAAAGTCAGGAAGTCGCTGTCAACGTTCTCGTGCAACATCTAGACTTTCTCAAGAAAGTCACCATCATAATGCAACTGTCGCACCCGCATATTATGACTACCTTTGGCATTCGTGAAAATAAGCAGTTGATGCTTTTGGAGTTGCCTAGGCTAGGAAGTCTATCGGATTGCTTATTGGACTGTCAGTTACCGTAGCTTTGCAATTAGAAATATAGATCCTCAGTGGAATGCACTACCTGGTATCTGCTGCATTCGTACTTCGAGATTCGGCGTACCAAGACGTGCCATTAAGAACCAAATACCTGATTCTCGTCTCGCCCTTGCGGTCGGTCTGGAATCAGACTAGTAAAAGTCATATAGCGTGACAAATGGCCAGCTAAATGATATAGTCCGAAATCTATTTACAGAGGAATCTCAGTTACGTGAGAAACGCCTGATCTTTCAGCATTTGTTTATGTGAAATGTCCTCCCACATTATACAGACAGGGGCAGAGATTCTATATATATATATATATATATATATATATATATATATATATATATATATATATATATATATATATATATATATATATATATATATTCACAACTCTGTACACAGACAAATATGTCATCCGAACCATGGTGGTAGGGAAAGGATATTATAATGTTCAACGAGGAGAGAGAGTTAAACGTTAGAAAAATGCTTTTTTCAGTTTCACAAACGCCGTTTTGAGCTTTTGCTTTCATGTTTTGTTCGAAATTAAAAAATTACATGATGAAGAGATGGTAGAACAGCATTGACGCCATTGACTCCTATTGCGGGCCATTTCCTCCAAGACTTCCAACCATTGGGAATCAGCTTCACGTGGTCCCCAGCCTGGGAAACGCACGGATCCAACTGACGCTAGACACGAAGTTAGAATCTTCATGCTTCTTTTCTAAGTCCTGGGCTATCCGCCACGGTTCCTTTTCCATTCGCGTCCAGGAAGTGCAAATAATGCGCAACTTGGAAGACAGTGGGGCGGCATGCACAGTACGTGACCGAGCCAATGCAAGCGGTGCTGGATGATTATGCTCTGTAGCCAAGGATTGTCCGCAACCATGACTCTGCTTCTAACTTCGTCGTTGCTCACCTGGTGCTGCCACCATACGTGATCAATCGAACACAAGCAGCGGTTCTCGAAAGTAGACAGTCATCTCAAATCTTCCGATCGTACAAGCCAGGTCTCGCAGCCGTACAGTAGGACAGCACGAACTGTGCCATTGTACACTCAGCCTTTGAGCATGAGACTGACATCGCGATGAAGCCACAAGTGTCTCAGGTTAGTAAATACAAGGCGATCTTTGGCAAGTCATTGTAAAATTTCATCGCCATTACCGCCATTAGCGGTGGTTCAACTCCCAAAGTAAGTAAAGCTGTTAACGAGCTCTAGACTGACACCCGAAATGCTGAGCGTGGGCACAGGAGCCTGCCCATCATGAAGCAAAGTTGTACTCTTGGATGAAGCAAAATACAGACCATACTAAGATGACTCTATCGCTATGCGGTTCAAAATGTTTTGAATAGCCTGCAAGTCGTCCCCCAGCAAAGCAATGTCATCAGCATAGTCCAGGTCCACCCACCTAGTAGTAAGCATAGTCCGTAATTCCGGTAGTCGTCCACAGCTCTTCACAAGACTCTTTCAGCTGCAGTGAAAAGAAACAGGGATATGATGCACCCTTGTTATGCGCCGCTATTAACAGTGAAGAACGAAGAATTTTGCGATAACAGCTTACTCTTCCTAAGGTGTGAGGGCAAACTGCAAGTAGGATGGCAGTAGATTTCACTGGGACCCCCTACTATAATAAACTGCGCCACAAAGTAGGCAGATCAGCAGAGTTCAAAGCAGCTTGTATGTCCAAGAATGCAAAGGTCGTTTCAATCTGGTGGGAGCAGTATTCGAGAATTTACAGATAGTGAAGATAACCACATACTCACTGCCTGGGCGGAAACCAGCCTGTTCAGTAAGGTAGTATGATTCACGAATTGGGGATAGTCTGCGAAGCAGTATTGATGTCAATAGTTCGGAAGCAATCGAAATAAGTATAGTCCCTTGGTGACCAGTGCTAGAAATGGGAGCGCCATTTTTAAAATCAGATAAATAACTGAATCGCCTAAGAAGAATGCACTGTACTTCCCGCCAAATTTTAGAGAATAACGAGTCCTCTGCTTAACACTTACTACCCTGCCCGATTTGAGAGGTTCCGCGGGGAAGTCCAACTGAGCTGGAAGCCTTGAGTCGCTTCAAGTGTTGAGTATTGAGGCAGACGTCCACTTCGCTAGTTGTATGCAGTGGGACGAGCCAAAGTAGGAAACTGGGTATACTGCCCACACAGATGGACGGTGGGAGCCAGTT